GGGTGGTGCATCTCTTCCAGTTTGCAGTTTGCCTTATAAAGGGGGACGAGGTTGGGAGGTGCATGGTATTTTTTTCTGGCTAATAATTGAGGAATCAGGAGGTAAAGAGAACTTCGTCTGGAGTTAGTGGATCTCTATCTTTATTTGGTTATCTCTTCTTTCTTTCTTTCCTACCTGGCTGGCCCATTCATATATCATAGTGGTGCTACATATCCCAAGGCAAGGCAAGGCAAGGGAATGCATGCTTCCGTCATCTTTTCCTGCACTTGCCTTGGTGACTTGATATCTAGTTTCACACCATATATGCCTGCTGCTGTGTGTACTCTTACTCTTTTTCCAAAAGAGACAACAAGAATCACAGTACAGGGCATGAGGTTTCCATGACAAGCTTTCCTCCATTTGCAAGCATGCCTGGCACAGCACAGGTGCCCATTTGACTATTTGGCAGGTGGGGTGTTGAAAGCGATCTCACATTAATAACAAAGTCATGAATCTTGTTAGGATTGTGGTTGAGTCGAATCAGGAAAGCCCACAGTTTGGGGCTCTAGAACGGTGGTTAGGTATTTAGGTTAGGCCACAAGAAGCAATCCTATATTATTGGCTCCTGAACACTGTTTGACAGATACTGTTGCAATAGTTGTGTACAATCTTTTCATTCACCCCCTATCTGTACTACAGCTACTTTTTTTTGGCAAACTAACTGCTTGCACTGAAAGCATGATGGTTAGGTCAGAACTCACAACAAGCAATATCAATAGACGCCAACAGCTGATTTCATCACTATTCTGAAGACTATCTATCACTCAAAGATGGTGCTGGTAAAAACATACTCCCTCCGTTCCTAAATATAAGTCTTTGTAGAGATTCCACTAGATGGACTACATACGGAGCAAAATGAATGAATCTAAACTTGAAATGCATCTATATACATCTGTATGTGGTTCATAGTGAAATCTCTACAAAGACTTATATTTAGGAACGGAGGGAGTACATCCTTTTTGCATCTCTGTCAACAATATTATAACAATCTGATCTGAAAAGCGAGAAGTAACGCAACAACTTTGAGTCAGAACGGTGAGGCCAATAGTATTGTTTTATGCATCGTGTCATCCCCTCCAGAGCCAATAATTGACTTGTATATATGCTGTGGAAATAGTTGTGGCCATATGCTGTTAACTTGTTGGGCATCATCACATTTGTTTGCTTTAGTGGGAGACTGTTGCTGTCACAAGTGCACCGGAAGAGGTCCGCCTGTACTTTTTAGGTAGTCTTTTGTGTGGGGATGGAAGCTGAGTTCTTGCCATCTTGCTGCTTTCCCTGTGTTTGCGCAAGTGTGGTTGTGGTGGTGATGATGTTAGCATTGGGATGCTTTTCATTGGGATGGAATGGATAGAGCTTACATTTGATACTGGGTCAACTTGATGAGGATAGAAAAGGAGAGGCACCTAGGCTCCCTTCCACATAGTTAACCATATCTGCAGGGGGCAGTACCAACATGCGTCGCCCTCGCCCAGATATGCAGATCTATGTGCATTTTCAAAGCGCAATTTATCAGGGACCCGTTTGGTATCTTGTTCCTTTGTTGTTTGTCCACTCTTCTCCTGTGTTCTATTTGGTCATCACTACCAGGGGGGGTTCCTGATCACTGCTTTTTCTCTGGCCTCAACAGGGAACACATCGCTTGTTCGCAGCTGTTGCAAGTGCTCTGCTGATCTCATTCCAGGTATCCAATAGTACACAATCTGAATGTGATGGTGAGAAATCCTATTTATTCACATATTCCTTTCTTCACAGGGAAGGCTGCCCAAGCACCCCAAACTGATTAGACATAGATATTGGAAACCAGCCCATGCACACGCACATGTGGTAAATTAGCATAAGCTTTTCCCACATGCATCTTTTTTCTTTCTTTTGAAAAGGAGGTTAAGATCCTCGGCTGCTGCATCATTGTGATGCACACGACCATCTCTTTTACAGTTGAGATGCAAGGCAACGAGGCCAAAAACATCAAGATGTAAATTTAACACCTACGACTGAGTCAATCTTCTTCCACATCAACGCCTTCAAGATAAGCCGGAGCCGTCCACTCGTATCTCGTAGCGGTAAGAGACAAATAAATCACTTTTTCTTGCACTTCCCTGGGATGGTTGATCACTGTGGTCTGCCATTTCATCTACTGGATTGATGACCCATCATACATCGCACTGATGTTGATGATGATAGTAGAGATGCATGCAGCCATGGAAAAAAGGGTTCCTACTTTTGATCATTTTTGGCCGCAACAGGCACCTAGGGGCTAGGGCATCCTGAATGATACCTCATACAGGTCTAGAAGGCAGGGGAAAGAAAGAAAGAAGGCGAGAAAAGGGCAACATCAGGATCAGGTGGCGACGTGCAAGTCTGGCGCTGCCAAATACCCAAAGTACAGAGTGGTTGGCATGAGTGCCAGAAACAAAATGGAATTTATCAGGCCTGCCTCCACGACAATGCTACGTTGATGCTAACTCGATCCCGCGTCCACATTAGCCGGTATCTCTCCGGCATGGCCCGTATCTTTATGGCATGACACTGACAACGTCCCTCGCAATCGCAAGGTTGGTCAGTAATTTTTTTCTGTACCAGTTGTTACATTTGATAAAGGCAACCGAGAAGTCTTTCTGTCGAGGAGCCATATAAAAACGTTGGACAGTAACTTTCAGCAGTTAGCTGTATTTGTTAAAGGCAACCGAGAAGTCTTGTTGTCCGGTCTGGTGTCGCGAGGTGGAATGATGATGCTTTGCACATGCAGATCTCTGAGGACTCTGGAGTTTCTGATGGGGATAAGCTGGTGGATTGATTGGGCAACTAATCGCAAGGACGGGGACCGGTAGAGGATACTTCAGACGTCAAAGAAAAAAGGTTCTAAAAGTAGTAGCATTCGTTTCGTATTGGGTTGCATAACTTCAGAGAAAATGCATACTGCATCATGCGTGTTGAAGTAGTTTTCTGACTAGTAGTTATGTGTTGTTTTAGAAAGTACTAACTGTTGACAAGGTAATTTGGTGATTAACTTGATGCTCACTGAACTTCAGAAGAACACCGGTGGAGGGAGTGAAGTTGCGGAAGGGAGGAGATCATCAAGAAGCTGTTAGTGATGAAAAAAGACGACATAAAATTGATGCATGAGATAAGAGGAGTATCATCGGTACTTTCTTTCTTCTTCGATCTTCAATGTGCTTTAACAAGTATAGCAATGGAAGAATCAAGGAAGTACCCGGAAGAATGATACTAATCAGAAAGACCTGCTGATACGCAAGGGTAGTGTTAGTCATCAGAACATTCTTATAACCAGAAAGTTAATGTTAACCAGCACTGCCAGATTTATCTCTTAAACCAAACACTCATAATCAGAAAGCCAATGTTAACCAACACCTATCACTATCTCAGAAGGTTCTAAAAGTAGCATTCGTTTCGTATTGGGCTGCATAACTTCAAGAGAAAATGTTTTATGACTACATACTATGAACATGCATGAACATACCGCATGTCGGCACGCCCTGAATCCATAGGCATGTGCACCCACTTTTTGAAAAATGCATTTTAAACATGTTTTTAAAATGTCAAAAAATTCAAAAGAAAATTTCACGCATACATGTTCGCAAATGTGTGTGCGCGGCACAAAGTTTTGTGAAAAAATGTCTTTTCGTTTTGTCTCCTTAAAAAAGACAAATTTCAGTGCTTCTAAAAAGCATTTTATGACACAAATTTTTTGTCTTTTTTCATAGGCCACAAAAAAGTTTTTTTCCGTGAAACTTTATGCATGCACATAAAACATGAAGACGTAACCGTGCAACCTTTTTCAGTTTTTTTTAGCATTTAGAAATGTGTTTTTCAAAGTGGGTTCATTGATGCACTTCCCATTATGCGTGTTGAATTAGTTTTATGACTACTAGTCATTTGTTGGTCTTTTCAAGAGCAGCTGTTGACAAGGTAATTTGATGATAACTTGATGCTCACTGAACTTCAGAAGAACACCGGTGGAGTGAAGTTGCACAAGGGGGGAGGTCATCAAGAAGCTGTTAGTAATGAGAAAAGACGACCTAAAATTGATGCATGAGAGGAGTATCATCGGTACTTTCTTTCTTCTTTGATCTTCAATATGATTTAACAAGTATAGCAATGGAAGAATCAAGGAAACCCCGGAAGAATGATACTAATCAGAAAGACCTGCTGATACCGAAGGGCAGTGTTAGCCATCGCAGCATTCTCATAACTAGAAAGCTAATGTTAACCAGCACTGCCAGATTAATATCTTAAACAGATAGATTAATATCTGAGTCAGAAAATGAACCACCAAGAAGGATTTCTTAATCTCTGAACCAGAAGATTTTTCTGCTGTTAGTCCCGGACGTCTCACTGTCCAATCAAGCATTTCTCATTTTGCATGATGTTATAGTGAGATTACCATTGTTGGAAAATTTTGTTGTTGATTCTGCTGGCCTTTCATTATAGACACTGCGTAGTTGCTGCCCTGCATAATTGCCTGGGAAATCTTTGATTGGTTTCTAGCCTTCAATGCACAGAGAAATGCAGAGTATAGACTGGTATATCCAACAACAAAATTATTGCTGTTCTATTAAACAGTCTTTGGCTTATTGCCCAACACCCATTCACTGAAATTTGTTTTACACTCGTCTGATATTGTAATGTTCAGCAGCGGCGGAGCTTCATGGGGGCCATCCCCCCCCGCCCCCCTCTAGCAAAACTTTTAAGTGCACCTCTAATTATTAGGCTTGAATATAAAATTTTCTTAAATTTCATGCATAACTTATCTTTTTAGCCCCCTAAACTCAGATTAGCTCCCTTAACAATCTTCATCAAGCTTCGCCGCTGATGTTCAGCATCATCGAATGAAATCTTGCTGCAAGTATTCTTCTCAAGATTCATTGGAAGTTGGCACCGTTGCTAAACAAGTTTAATCCAGTTTCTTCTATTTCTCCAGAAACCTGTCTTCAAGTCCATCAAATGGAAGCAGAGAGCATACTCTTGACAAACTCCCGAGGCCGGCAGACAGCCGCCAATGGCGTCGCCATTGGCATTGTCAGTCCACCACCTTCAGCCATGTCGATGGTATCGCCTTCACCAACATCCCACTCAAAGCACTGCAGGAGTGCTGCGAGTGTCAAGCTTACAACGCGCATGGCCAGCCCCTCACCGGGGCATCGCCTCCTGCCAAGCCCGAACGGCAGCATGGGCATGGTGACCGCGTCTCTGCCCAAGAACCTCTCTGGCCTGAACACCTCTGGTGCATCCCAGACATTGGCGTCCCGGTGGACCGTCCATGCGTTCACGAGGATCATCGTGCCACGCTGCACATGGAAGCCACCCACGGTGCAGTCCTCCATGGCCTCATGTGCTGGGATGACCGGGCCGACAGGGCAGAGTCGAAGTGTCTCCTTGACAACGCATTGCAGGTAGGGTAGGTTGGTGATGTCCGACTCCTCAACCAGTCGGCTCATGCCGACGTTGGCATCTATCTCGGCCCTCGCCTTCCGCATCTCCTTTGGGTGCTTCAGCAGCAGCGCCATTGCCCACTCGGTGGTCAGCGCCGATGTGTCGGTGCCGGCGGTGAGCATTACCTGAATGTCAGCATGGACATGGCAACCATCTTATCACAGATCACCAAAATGGCACACATGGTGGTGGTGGCACGGATGCAATTTGCAAAATATGCTACTCACCAAGATGATGCCTTTGACGACAGTGTCAGTGTAATACCCAGGATCGGCTTCTTGATGCTCCAAGAGCACGTCGATTACGCCCTTCTTCGCCACGTCTCCGCCACCGGCGTTACGCATTTCCCGGCGGTCATTGACGAGGCCAGCAACGAACGCGTCACGCCTTGTCTGCAGGCTTGCAAGCGCCGCCTCGACGCCGCGGAGACGGTCGACCCACCGCAGCGCCGGGAAGAAGTCCCCGATGCTCGGCGTGCCGCTCACCACGAATGTCTCCTCCACAATCTCCTGGAATCTGCGCAAGTCGCCGGCGTGCCGGCGCGTGGTGAGCGCGTGCAGCATCACGTTGAGCACCAGCTCGAACAGCCTGTTCCGGAGGGTAATAGGCCCACCACTGGCGCTTGCGCTGGTGTCGTGGAGAAGGTTCTGGACGAGGGACGCGACCTCGGCGCGGCGGTCGGCGGCAAGCGCGGCGAGGCGGGAGGTCGAGAAGAGCTCGACGGCGAGGAACCGGCGCAGGCCGCGCCAGTGGGCACCGTCGGAGGCCCACGAGATGGTGGTGCGGCCGTATCCAAGGTGCTCCGCGACGAGCAACTGCGGCCTCCCTGCCAGCGCGGCGTCGTGCGCCGTAAAGCACTCCTCGGCCGCGGCGTGTGTTGACACGACCAGCGCCCGGCGCGCGCCCAACCGGAGCGACAGGAGCGGCGCCGAGCCGGCGAGCGCGGCCAGGCAGCGGTGCAGCGGCTTTTTGAGCAGGTGGAGGTGGCCGAGCAGCGGGAGAGACGGAGGGCTCGGCGCTCTGCTCCTCCCATGCCCCCACCGTCGCCTCAGCCGAACAAAGACGGCGACAGCACCGGCGATGAGGAGTAGCAGGAGAAGACCGCCGCTTGCCCTTTCCTCCATGTTTGAGTCCATGGGTGGCGTCGGCATTGGCACGGCCTGAAAGCTCCGACCCTTGCAAACACGTGGTTCTTGCTACGACACGTAGCAGGTGGATGGATCTTCCGGAGCCCTTGCGTCCAGACCTGGCCAAACGGTCCGGCCCGGCACGGCCCGGCTCGCCGTGGCACGTTTAATAGGCACAGTCCCGCCGTGGCACGTTTAATAGTCGGGCCGTATCATGCCGGTCCACGGACGTGGCTCTCTGGCCCAGGCATATCCTGATTATTGAACGGGCCGGTCCGTGGTATGTTTAGCACGCTAGCTCATCCGATTTTTAAACTGTTGGGCTGTATTTTAGGCCTATTGGACTGTAATTTAGGTCATATATATAAAAAAATTCTGAAAAAAAATTAAACGAGCCGTGCCGTGCTGGCCCGTGTGCCCAGCCTCCAGGCCCAGGCATGACCCATGGCGTGCCGCGTGCTGGGCCTAGCCTGTTTAGCTCAGGCCGTGCCGTGCTTGGGCCATGACGTTCCCGCGTGCTACTGGGCCGACCCAGTTAGCACAGCCTGTTTGGCCAGCTATAGTTGCGTCCTATCCGAGCATCCTCCTTTATTCATCAGTGAGAGACATATTACTTCCTCCTTTCATAATATAGTGTCTATAGATTTTTATAAAAATCAAACATTATAAACTTTGACCATATTTATAAAAAAAATAGGTACATCTAGAATACCAAATGCACATCATTGAATATATCGTGAGTTATATTTTCAGAATGCACATGTTTGGTATTGTAGGTGTAGACAATTTTCTCTATACACTTGATCAAAGTTGGCAAAGTCCGACTTTCACAAAAATCTATATGCACTATATTATGAAATGAAGGGAGTCATTTACTCATCGAGACACATGAAAATCTAACTAACTTAGCTAGATCATGAGCAACCTGATTGCTATCCCTTATTATAGTGAGCGAAACTAACATGATTAAAATCCCGAGTCATATAAAAGCAATCATAAAAAAAGACACCAGCTACCGAACCGATCTTCCTTCTTGCGGAGTCAAAACTACATCAACATTGTCAGACATATCCCAGCTCATGCCGATCATTGAGAAGCTTATGCGCAAACTGGCCATCTGGAAGGCCGCTCTTCTCAACCGCGGCGAGTGCCTCGCCCTGGTCCGCTAGGTCCTGAGTGCCATGCCGGTCCACCTGCTCCTGGCCGTGGCAATCTCCCCTCCCATCCTCAAGAAGGCGAATTGCATCCTTCATGATTTCCTGTGGCATGGACGCACCGATGCGCGCGCTGGATCATGCTTGGTCAGCTGGGCGTGGGTTTGCCGCCCCTGGACTTGGGTGGCTTAGGTATCAGTGAATTTCGTCGCACTGGAATCTCGCTCCACGCCCGCTGGCTCTGGCTGCAAGCTACAGACCCCTCTCAGCCCTGGGCTCACCTCAAGCTACCTCATGACCCCGAGGTGCTCCAGTTCTTTCGAGCTTCCATGATCTGGACCATTGGAGACGACACTTCCCGTCGCTTTTGGATCAACCCATGGCTGGATGGCAAATCTATCCTAGATGTTGCCCCTCATGTCACGACCCTCGTACCCCGCCGAGCTCGCAATTCCCGCATGGTGGCGGATGCGCTTGCTGATCGCCGCTGGATTGACGACATCCGGGGAGCTCTGGGTCTTGCGGCCACCGTGGAATACGTAAGCCTATGGATCCGTCTCCAGCATGTCGAGCTGCTCCCTCGCCCGAACTCGATTCGCTGGCGCTGGACGAAAAATGGGTGCTACTCGGCCTCCTCTTGCTACATCTCCCTCTTCCATGGCTCCACCTCCTCGGCCACCTGGCACCTCGCCTAGCAAACTAGTGCTCCGACCTCGGTGCAGTTCTTCATCTGGCTAGCCTCTCTCAACCGCTGCTGGTCCGCTGATCGCCTCGCGTGGCGCGCCTTACCCGACGAGCTGGCCTGCGTGCTTTGCTCTCAAGAGCCCGAGACCATGCACCACATCCTGGTGGGTTGTGTCTTCGCGCGAGCAACATGACACGCTATTCTCTCCTGGCGCTCTCCAACTATGGCCATCCCAGATGACTCGGTTGGCTTCTTCGACTGGCTTCCTACTGCTCTCCTAGACACCCCGATGCCGAAGCGGCATGGACTCGCCACCGTGGCCTCACTCGTCGCATGGTCCCTCTGGCGGCACCGGAACGCTGTCATCTTCGACAATATTGCGCCCTCCCTGTCATTGCTAATTGTCGCAATCAAGGATGAAGCTCGCTCTTGGGCCATGGCTGGAGCTAGAGGAATGAACTCAGGGCTAGCTGTAACCTGATCGTGTCTTTTGGGGGTTGAGTAACCCTCCGTCTTCTACTCCTCTCGTCACCACATCGTCGCCATTCTTGTGCACGTCTCTGTGGTGATCTCCTGTAATTTCTAACTTTCTCCCCTATCAATGCAATTATATGCCATCTAGGCGTATTCCAGAGGAGACACCAGCTCTAATTTGCTACATCCAACAATCCTTGCCAAGTTTAGACCAAACCTGACTACTGTCGCCTCGGTGATGAACACATCAAAACAAAAAACTCTATCTTCTCATTTGCAGCTGCCATAAACTTGCCATTGTGATTGCTGGTAATAGTATCGACCATTCCTTCTAGCTGATCATGACAGAATCCGACATCAACATTTTTCATGTAACCCGTCCTAGGTTTAGTCCAAGCAACCTTATGTATTTTTGCTTTTGGACTGCATCCGATAACAAAGTTTGCTGCCATCCCTCTTATTGCTAGATTAATTGGGGAACACTTTGTGTCTATTCACCATGAGCAAGCTTCCTTCTTTCATACCATAAAGATCATCATGAGTAGGCATAGTTTCTCGTAAGTTTGGGAGGCCAAGAACATGCGCATCATGATCTGGAAGACATAGAAAACGCTCCAGTATATTTTCTTCGGTAAGATTGGCTCGACACGCTTTTTTTATAATATGATGGATTCCTAACAAGTTCCATACTACCGCCGCCTTATGACTTTCAAAAAATAAGTGCTTCAAATTAGGACCAAAATTGCATGCTGGGTAGTGCACCTTTACCTTCATATGCTTCGTTGCTAATATTGCCTGACAAGGAATGGCACTATGTAGTGCTCTCTTTATAAAAATCTTAATCTTGGTCGAACATGAAAGTTTCCACACTGAATCCCATATATCTGTGTTGGTGGATGATCCTACATTTGTATGAAGTTTATCACCAAACATAAACTCCCACTCCTCATGATAGGCCGAACGTATCGTAAAGATCCCGGTTCTCGAGGGGTTCCATGCCATGAATTCTGTCATATCATGTAAAGGACGGGTATAGCCAAAATTCTACGAGCATCAATTGGACAAAACCTTTGTCTCACCAACTGTCCATCCCAATCTCCTGATACATGATCTATGAGGTCACATACACACGAGAAGAGATTATTTCCATGAATAGTTTGAAATTTTTGGAGGGTGATTGGGGAATCCTGGGGTCATTCCTTATGTTAACGTTCTCACCATCACTGATTCTCAAAACATAGCCTCTTTGTAACGTATCCACCACTGCCATAATACTTTGCCATGTGTATGATGCTTTCCTCTTCAAAATAGCACTCATCAAATCTCCCTCAGGAAAATATTTGGCCTTAAGAATTACAACACATAATGAGCCACGATTGTCAATCAATTGCCATGCCTGTCTAGCTAACAATGCAAGGTTGAAATAGTGGGTAAGCCAAGGTTGTCAATCAATTGCCATGCCTGTTTAGCTAACAATGCGAGGTTGAAATAGTGGTTATCTCTGAAACCGATGCCTCCTTGCTTTCTTGAAATGGACATATTCCACCATGCGAACCAGTGCATCTTCTTTTGTGTTGCATCATCACCCCACCAAAAACTTGACATCACATATGTGATTCCTTTGCAATTTTTAAGGAATTTTGAAGATCGACATCGCATAAGTTGCTATAGCTTAAGCAACTGATTCTAATAAAATATCTTTTACCTCCTGATGATAAACACTTCTCCTTCCATCCCATCAATCTTTGAATGAGCCGATCAATCAAATATTGAAAGCTGTCACTTTTATCAAGGCCTAGAGTTGCTGACAGCCCAGATACTTATCATTCAAAGCTTCCGTCATTCTATTAAGAGTAGTACAAATAGTTGCCTTCATATTAACTTCTGTACTGGGAATGAAAAGAATACTTGATTTATCCACACTAACAAGCTGTCCCGACGCTGCGCAATATGTATCAAGTATGGATTTCAAGCATGCAACATTCGTCTCATTTGCCTTCATTAAAATCAGAGAGTCATCAGCAAATAAAAAATTTACAACTGCAGGTGCGTCACAACAAACCTTTACTCCCTCCAGCTCTCCAGTTAATTCAGCATGAAATAAGAGGCCGTAAGTCCTTTCGTATATAGTAGGAAAAGGTACGGGGATAAAGGGTCCCCTTGTCGAAGACCTCAAGATGGTATGATAGTCTCTGTTTCAAAAGAATTAAATCTCACTTTATATTCCACTCACGCCACACATGTCATAACCAGATTTACCCAATCAACATGAAATCCTAGTTTCGAAAGCATTGCTTCCAGAAAAACCCACTCAACCCTATCATAGGCCTTACATATCCATCTTCATGGCACACCATCCTTCCTTCCCTACCTTCTTCTGTTTAATGGTGTGCGGACTTTCATACACAATAAGGATGTTGTCCGTAATCAGTTTCCCTAGAATAAAAGCACTTTGTGTAGGACTGATTATCTTTGGAAGGATAACTTGTGGCCTAGCCGCTATCATTTTTGATATAACCTTCTACACCACATTACAAAAACTAATAGGTCTAAATTGTGTCACCTTTTCTGGTGTCTGTACCTTAGGGATCATGAAAGTTGTGGTATTATTCCACCCTTGGGGTATTACTCGACTATTGACCGCTTGCAGGACCTCCATAACCAGATCACCTCCGAGCATTGGCCAGAACCTCTTATAAAATATGGCATGA